CTGAAGTCAGGAGGACCTGAGTTCAAATCCAGCTTCAGTTCAAACACTCGACACTTACTAGCTGTGTGACCCTGGGCAAGTCACTTAACCCCAATTGCCTAAAAAAAAATCATAATATTTTGTAGTGAAAGCATAGGTTACCTTCCATAGAAGTCAAATTAAATAATAAAGAAATGAATAACATCTTTCAAAACTAATTCCAGTGTATAACCCATCCATCTGCCAACCAGTTTTGTACTAGTAATGATTAGAAGAAAGCTTTGAAAACCAGGCCAGTTCTATTTATTTATTTATTTATTTAAAGTTAGAATCCTGTTGTGATAATTTTTTTTTACCCAAAATGATAATGAGAAACACTAAGATATATGATTCCAGAAATAAATATATAAAAATAAAATATCTGCTATTAATGGAAGACCATTAAGCAGATTAATATCAGATTTTCATGTCCATCTAATAGTCAACAGTGGTACCTGTGCCAAATGAACACCAAAGATCAGTCCAAGCAGTCTCATTACCAAAGTTGTCATTAAACCTCTCAGCCAACCAAGGGAGCAAGTTTCTCTGCTTTATGACTCCCAGGGAAGGACATATAAACTTCAAATGGTTTATGTCAGACTGCTCGAGCACTATTTTTAAGGAACCACTATTTAGAAGAAGTTCATTCTCACATATCTCTTAGTAGAAATGGATTATCCTACACTTGCTACAAGTTAATGGATTATATTTGCCCAAAATACTCTTGAGCTTCACATCTATTTTCAACTTTAGACATGTAGAAAAACACTACTCAGATGAGCTGTTTTCTATTGCTCCCCTATGGCAATCCAAATGTTAGCCATCCTCTAAGGCTCAACTAAAATCCTTCTTTCTTGTGGAAACTTTCCTGAATATTCTCTGATAGCCCTCTAGAGTACATTCCCTATCTAGCAATAATGTATTTGCTTATATTATTTGACATTGTTTTGTGTTAGTCTTTTCTTCTCAAGTTGAATGTAAACCCCTTGAAGTCCATGCCTTACATTTTTCTTTCACCCTTCCCACAGATATATCATAGCAGAACCCAGTAAGAACTTCCTAATCTTTCACTTTTTCATTCTCATTCCTATTTCCTCTTCCTAAGAACAAGATCATCAAGAGATTGCCCAATACAAAGTTCTCTTGTTATATTATTAGTCCTAGAGAACCTTATAAACTAATCTCATTATATCAGGATTTTTCAGGGTTTAGTTACATTGTTTGAAGAAATATTATTTACCCCCCCAAAATTTATGTAATAAGCCATGATTTAGTAAGACAAGCATACTTGGAGGGCACCAGAAAGATTCAGATTTTTATATAGTCCTTTAATTCCTAAAAATAAAATTCTAAAACATACATAAGTTCCTATCATTCCTATTTTTTCTCATCTGTCATTTAAGAGGTCTGAAAGGGGTGCTTTCCGAATTCAATCATAAATTACACCTACGACACCGTCATATGTCTACAATGTGGGATTAGTTTTTAGTCATTTAAGCATGCAGTGATAAATATAGTTTATTATGCTACCTGGATGTTTTTGATGACTTGAAGAAAATCAGCTTAATTAGAAAAACTCGTAAGAAAAAAAAAAAATATATCACTCTGTTGTTAATGCAACCGAGGGAAAATTCAAACAAAACTTCAATTCCATCATCATAGCAGAAGGTTTATATAGTGATAAAAAGCAGAATATATTTTTTAAAAATGTTCTCATATTTTAATTAAAGTAAAATCAATGGAAAAGGAAAAAAAAACACAAATACCATATGGCAACTGGCACACTGATCCACTCATTACCATTAAAAAATCCTGCTTTGTGAGTAAGAACTATTTACTAATCTGTGTCAAAACATCTTCTGTTTCAAAACATGTCATTAATGATGAAGGAATCCAAAGTCCAAATATGACAGTCTACATTTAATTTATACTAATTATACACTGGAAAGGCAGCTTGACATAGTAGATTGAGGATTTGTGTCAGAGATAGAAAGACCTGGGTTCAAATTTTTCATCTGACACATAGTTCCTATGTGACCACAGGCAAGTTACAACTTGGCAATACCCCAGACCACTAAGACTATAACCTCAGGAACCTCATATCTGTAGGAGCTCTCTTCATTAAGAGACCTTCTAGGACATTTCTTGTGAATGTTTATGAATGATTATAGCAAAATTTATTGTTTTCACACTATGTATGTCTAATATAGCAATACTGCAATTTAGAAAGTCTCCATCAAAAATAAATTTAAACCAATGCTCAGTAGCATGTGCAGCCTAAATTATAAAGATAGATGTTAGACAACTGCAAGATGTCATAGGGTTAACATGCTCTGTAAATATGTTCTCAAAATAGTGACAGTTCATGTTATATTTAACTAAAAGGGCCAATGTTTTAAAAAGTTACAATCTACAATTAACATGCAAACACTGTACTGTTTGGAACACAAACACTAGTCTAGCATTCAAAGTTTCAGCATTACACTGATATATGTTGTGTTATTAACTGTCTCCCAAGGGGGGGGTGGAATGTTGCATTTCTTGCATTTCCTTAACATTACATTATTAGATTATGTTCTCTCATAGTTATATCATTTGATCTATCTGTTTTTTTCATGCTTCCTATATATTTCTTTATATCTTTGTTCTAAGCTGAGTTATTTATGAGGAAATCAATATGTCCAACTGATCCCCTTCAGACCACCAGCTTTCCAATTTTGACAAGCAATCTTAGTTTAAATAAAGTGACCCCTATAAATAATGACTCTTGATCCCAAGGCTGCCAAGTCAGTTAGCTCATTAGAAATGGAAAGGGGGGGGGGGAGAGAGAGAGAGAGAGAGAGAGAAATAGAAAGAAATAGAAAGTCTGATTTACACACATAAATATACATACCTACATATGTATATATGTAACACAATACTCTAAAAGGTTTTCTAAAGAACCATAAGGTAGTTAAAACTTTACTAGGCATCTAGACTCCAATTGACCAAGAAACAATGCTTCACATATGAAGAAAATAATATGTGGAGTTTGTTAAACCAAAAATAGGCTGTGTAAAATAAAGAAAGTAAAGGATTATGTACAATTGAAAAGACATATGGAATTATGATTGACTGTTTCTCTTATGTCAATCTTACTCTCGGGAAGACAGCAAAAACACATATTGTTACTGCAGCTTTTCCAGATTCTCAGCAACATTGTAACAGCCAATGTGTATTCCATTAAACAGAAGACTAATGAAAGGAATGCATTCAAATTTTAATTAAAAAAAATGCTTCTGACCAAAAAAATGGGTTGCCATAGATGTTGAATACAAGAAAAATAAAAGAATGAACAGCATCTTTAGACGTAAAATTTCAATCTAAAACCTAACCATCTGTTAGCTAGTAACATGAGGAAAAACGGACAAGTTTTATTCTTTCAGCTACAACAGCATTCGCCACTGGGAGGAAAATCATGGTAATTACATTTCTGTCTGCAGATTAACCTACAGGAACTGACACTTGCTACTGGCAAATTAAACCACGTTGATGAATGTATGTTTTAACAGATTTGCTGGAAGGGGGAGAGGGTAAAGAGGAGGAAATCTTTGTTTTGGCTACTACCCAAATCGAGGAAAGAAGTGTGTGTGTGTGTGTGTGTGTGTGTGTGTGTGTGTGTGTGTGTGTG